TTTGGCTGCAATTCGATTATAATTTGCATGTTGACGTGATTTGAATTGTCAGCGGGTGGCGTGGCAATCGTAAGATCTAGTTGAGATAACGAGGTTTGGCGGGGATCAATTGTGACGAGTTTTTTCCGCGAAGTGATTTGAAATGGATTAACTTCCACTTGCCTCCTTAGTTGCGGTTGTAAATTGATTGTCCAGTACATGCCTAGATTTTGTGTAGAGCTCTCTGTTCAGTTGTGTATAGATTATGTGTAAAGGTCCACAGACTCACGTGTAGAGATGTGTCGATTTTGTGTAGAGGTCCTTTGAGTTGTGTGTGTGTGTGTGTGTGTGTGTGTGTGTGTGTGTGTGTGTGTGTGTGTGTGTGTGTGTGTGTGTGTGTGTATGTGTGTGTGCGTATATGCGTGGATATTGCGCAAAAGTATTTTTGCCTCGCGTGTAGATGTAAAGATTGCGCCAAATTGTTTATCGACTCGTGCGTACATTAGTAGATTTTGTGTAGCCACCCATTCTTAGATGGCGTTTAAAGGGTAATTAACGCAATGGTACGTGGCATATAGATTTTGTGTAGAGTGTTTTTATCCGGTGGTTAGTTGAGGTCTTGTCCTACGCGGTTTGATTGCATGTAGACGTACATTGACTCGCATTTAAACAATTAGGATATTATTACCGGCACATTTACTCATGAATACATTATAAATTATACAAGTATACGTCCATGGAATTTAGCAATAGTACATTAGGCTGATTTTTACTTTTGTAAATTTCGTGCAATGCTCTATTGACTTATTTGTAAATGTATAGATTTTGTGCAATGGGCTGTGGTGTGCATGTATAGATTCTGTGTAACATTCTGTTTGTGGCATATTTATTCGTCGGTGCATTCGTTTAGCCCGCGGTCTTACATCTTGTGGGTTTTTGCGAATCAAAATAGCAGCCAGTCTTTTGACGAAGCTACCCCGTTTACCGTACGTTAGAGTTATAGTTTACAGTAGTGAAGTAAAACGTTGATGTGCATGTAGGTGTCTATCGCCTCGCAGGCACGCATGGCTGGGGGTTTTGCCCACTTTAAATGTCAGACATTAAATATTCATCTAGGGTCCGCGTAGGATTTATCAAGTAGAACAATAATCGGTAGTCGGAGAGAATCTTACGGGACAACAAACGTGATAGATTAACGGCCACTCTCACATTTTGATTAGAATAAATTCTTATCGAATTTTGCCGGTTCTCGCTAGCTCGGCCTTCGTGCGAGGTTTTACTGAGATCGTTCTCGGCTATTGACTTATTACCATAATCTCTAAGCCAGCACTTAACTGACGTGCGTCTCGCTTATTAGAATGTATGGACATATTTTGCGGCGGAATACGAAAATGTGCAAAAGACCGCACTTGCGCTATACACAAAGAGAACGAACAGTCGACATGAGTATCGTTTGTGCTCCTATTCCTGTCGTGAATGCGTCGCATCCTGGCACTCTGAAAAATCTTCATAATTTTCTACATGTTTGCCGTCATGACGTAGTCGCTTGGCGTGATGACATAATCGTATGGCGTGATGACGTAGTCGCTTGGCGTGATGACATAATCGTATGGCGTGATGACGAGGTCGCTTGGCGTGGTGTGGTGTGGCTTCGCGTCATGACTTACTCGTCAGACGTCATTACTTAAGTAAAAAGGTAATATCGCGTGCGCGCGTTCGGTTTTTGTTCACGTGTACGCGTGTGCGCTCATTTGTTTGCGTGCGTGCACACATGCGCACTTTCCTGCGTTGTTCGGTCGCATTCTCCTTCATGTGGGATAGTATTCATGCACTTCTTTACTACTTATTACTTATTATTATTATTATTTATTCTTTATTACTGCGGGGCCCAGAAGACGCGTTTTCACCCAGCAGCCGCGATGTGTGACTTCGTTGCATAGGTTCAGACAATAGAATAAGATAGTAGTTCCGTCGTACTACGTATCATAGGAGGGAATTGTAACCACGTTTCCTTCTGCTCACATATGCATACATATTATATTGACATCCCATTGCACCAAACACCCACGTACACGTACACACGTACGCGACACACACACACACACACACACACACACACACACACACACACACACACACACACACACACACACACACACA